CCAGCCCCCCCCCCCCCTTCGGTAACGTGCACCACCAGCACTCTTCTTCACCCATCCACCCCAATCACCCACCGATACTTGCAGCACCTGCACCCCCCACCGAACCCCCTCCATGCTTCAGGTGGAGAAAAGTCTAGGGACACCCCTGAATTTAAACCTACTTACTAAGTACACCCACTTTAGTTTGGATCAACAGTTGCGCGTTGCAGTAATGCATGGTAAATGTGTTCTGAATGGCTCCCCAATGCACTTGTAGAGTTAAAAAAAAAACACACCTGCACTATAGCACACCACATGTGCTATATGCATAGTTTTTTTTTACATTGATGGTCTATTCAAAATATATGGGCTACCTTAATGTACCGGGCCACAATGCACAAAAACGGGTACGGTAACACATCCATGGGTCCTTATGAATTCTCCTCCATAAGCACGACCACCAGCCAGCCCACGGCCTATTGACCAAGGAGCTCCTCTGAGATAACGTCATCGACTTACCTTTTGTAATTATCAGGGTGACAACGTATCCCAAAATTGAAAGTTTGAAAAGTCCATTTTCTTTTGTAGGGCTATAAAAAATGCAAAAAAAATACAAAAATGTGTTAAGTTCAACACGATGCCGTAGCGTCACATGTTGTGAAGTCAGGAAGTTGAGGCTAATCGCAGGAAGTATACATATATGACTTTGTTAATGAGTATTTGGGTGAGCAGCTGGCACCTCATTATCACTAAACGGAAACCGCATTGTTATAATGTTACTAAGAAAAAGATCTGTATATCTATAGATGTTTTCTCAAGGTTAAAGAGAACCTGTCACTTGTGGAAGGAGGGGTCAACAATGCTACAGGCCCAGGCACTTGGAGGTGCACATACCAGGACAACCCCAGGCAGGTTTTGAAAGCTGCTCCAGGTAGGCATAGGTGCACTTTATACCCACAGCAGGTAATGTTCTAGGTTTTGATGACCGATTCTCTTTACGCAACTACACCCCTAATAAACCTGGAGGAGACAGGAGGTAGAACTGTGGCCAAGCTACAGATATTCAACTGGTTACATATTATGAACAAGCAAGGGATACGCTTTAAAACAAGTACTCACTGACCTCTGTAGTTGCCGGTATTGTGGATTAATTACATCTCAACGTTCAAGAACAACTAAAGGTTCCTGTAAGACATTCTAGTACCCAATCCGGTTACTATGGGACGCACTGACCTCATAAAGTAAACAAAAAACATCCTTCACCTCCCCTGAATGTAGCAAATCCCCCTTCATTAGCGTCTTACTCCTTCCCAAAATCCTCCTTCATTTGGGTCTCACCCCTCCCCCAAATCTTCCTTCATTTGTGTCTCACCCCTCCCCCAAATCCTCCTTTATTTGTGTCTCAGCCCTCCCCAAACTCCTCCTTCATTTGTGTCTCACCCCTCTCCAAATCCTCTTTTATTTGTGCCTCACCCCTCCCCCAAATCCTTGTTTATTTGTGCCTCACCCCTCTCCCAAATCCTTGTTTATTTGTGCCTCACCCCTCCCCAAAATCCTCCTTTATTTGTGCCTCACCCCTCCCCCAAATCCTTGTTTATTTGTGCCTCACCCCTCTCCCAAATCCTTGTTTATTTGTGCCTCACCCCTCCCCAAAATCCTCCTTTATTTGTGCCTCACCCCTCCCCCAAATCCTCCTTTATTTGTGTCTCACCCCTCCCCAAAATCTTCCTTCATGTGCATCTCACCCCTCCCCCAAATCCTTCTTTATTTGTGTCTAACCCCCTCCCCGAAATCTTCCTTCATTTATGATTCACCATCCCCCCTGCCAGACACTGCAGCTCACAGTGGGAGGGTCAATCCGGAAAGCAGTGGGCGGGACTAGGTTTGGCCACGTGCTGATTGACAAGCTGAAGGCCCTGTGAATCAGCAGTGACAATGCAAATAGCCACACTCCCTGCAACATCTTCCCCTCCCACTGTAGTGCATCTGTCACCGCCTACATGAGCCGGTGAACTCGGGGGCAGTGCAGCATCGTTGCCACCCCATCTCAGGATGCTGCAATAGGTGGACTTCACTGGCAGGATCAACAAGTACATGTGGGACTTTGCAGGGGGACTAAGAGGGAACTGTAAGTGCAGATGGATCTGTAATTGAGTGCTGAAGTACTTGTTTTTTTTTGTGGTAGACCTTAGTTCCACTTTCGATGTTATTGCATTCTGTTTGTGTTAGAGATTAGAAGTCAAAGCCACGGGGGGCGGGGTAGACGTCAAGGATGTGGGTAAGAACAATACTCCCTATGACGGAAGGCGGCACTCACTGCGCTGATGGCATTGTCAAAAACAACTCTACTATGTATTCCTATTACAATTGTTTTTTTCCATGACGGGTGTGCAAAGTTTAAACACCTCCAGTGAACCATAAAAAGTGCGTGTGAACACACTCACAAAGAATATGCTCCCGGGTGTGTTCAAATGGTCCTTCCCCCAAAGAGAGAGGGCCCTTGCCCTAACCCACCTGGGGCCCGAGGCTCCTGATACCAGCAGAGCACTCTAATCCACTTAGCCAAAGCCAGGAGGACCCCTTTCCTCACGGTCAGCCGACCACCGAGTACGAGGTTGGCGGCCCTCCAGAAATGGGACTGCTAATTCAAGGATCTGATCTGATGGCCCCACCTCCTCCCCCTAGACTACAGGGTAGGCCCGAAGACCCAAAACCTTCATCCTTGGGGAGTGAACAAAAGTACACACATAAATAAGGTGCCAAAGTGCAAGACCATGGCTAGGTCTTGTGTACTGTTATAAAAATGACCCCGGGGGTGGGGAATGCCGCTGCTACAACTGTTGCCACTGATTGGGCCAGGAGGAAGGATGGGGGGCGGGTTCTTGGGTGAACTCAGGTGAACTGGTCCCTGACTTTATCACCAGGCTTTGAAAAAGATTGCATAGACATGACATGCCCCCAGAACGACATCTCCCAAGAGCCCTTTCTCTACAGGGGGTGATTTATAACTTGTTCGCATATCGACCAGCCATGCAAATAATTATTACACGGGAAAATGTGAAGAGATGTACGGCATTTTTTAAAATGTTGCCCTGGCATTGACCTTAAAGGAGAACTACGAGGCGAGTGAAAATCACTCATCCTCATAGTTGGAGCCGACGTGTGACAATGAAACTGTCACACGTCGCCTCTATAGATTGGGAACACATACCGTCGCTCGCTCACTTCTCGATCATCTCCCTGCAGAGATCCGTGACTGTCACTCACGGCTCCCTGCAGGGATTCCCCAGCCTCCCCGCTCCGATTCTTCAACGCTGACTGGAGGAACAAACGGGGGAGGGGGCGGGCACAGCTGATGGGCAGAGCCAGCTGTCACTCATGCAGCTGTGTGGATCTCAACCAACAATGTTGGGATCCGTCCCGGCTGCAGCGGTCTCAGTATACCGTGAGCTGTAGCTCCCTATATACTGAGCTATGGGTGATGGGAGGACGCTAGTTCGTGTCCTCCCGTTACCCTTAGTAGAACTATGGGGAAAAACACTGACCCCCATAGTTCTCCTTTAATCTTCCATTGACCACCCAAAAAATGAAGGTCGTACTCACGTGATGCAAATACATTTGATGGACACCATTGTGGGAAGTGAATCTCTGCACTGTATGGCGATGGCAAAAAGTTTTGCCTGTTTCGAAAATGTACCAGTTAAGCGGCACAGTCCCGTCTCTTCTTCATTCGGTGCACAGGCCTCGGGGTCAAATCCCTCTGAAAAATAAAGATCATATTAAGTCAAACTTGTATAATAATAATATTAGGGATGCACCCATACCATTTCTTCCGGACCGAGTACAAGTACTGATACTAAGTACTCGCCAATACCAATTACCGATACCCTAAGTTCGTGTCCCAATGGAGTGTGTGGATTCACTTTTCATCCTCCACCGACCTACAGTCCTACCTCTGAAACACTACTCTGGCGGAGACTGGGACGCATCAATTCACGATACACAACCTCAGTTCACGGGCCGTGAAACAAATAGAGACCGCCCTAGACACCGGCCCTGGGAGGTCCACGCCAGACCGCCAATGTTCACTTCACATACTCGTGTCTGCTGATGTCTTGTTTTTACTTTGTATATCCTTATCGAGTTTCAATACTGAATGATACGAAACCTGTTTTAGAAATGCTAATAAAAACCGATTCATCACTAAGCTCGGCTTTTTAATTTTTTACATAAATAGCCTCTTTCACACCTCTTTTAAACCAGTCCTCCTCCCTGTCTAGGATGCATACTTGACTGTCTTCAAACGAGTGACCTTTTTCCTTTAGGTGTAGGTATGCACCTAAAGGTGTGTATTACAGATGTAATGGTAGAAGAACGATTTCCATTCTCGATAGTCATAGTGAAATCTTTCATAGACTCAGGTCTACGAAAAACGGATATTTTTGGTAGGGACTCATAACTTTAAACGCCTAGGAGCTCCTTTGTATCCCCAGGGTTCCATTGGTCAGGTCAGACGCGTGTGGTCATTACCAGGAGGTCCTAAACTGGCCATACATTAATAGAACTTCAGGAGAACGTCTTCAGAGGAATGTTCTTCCATAATTGTTTAGGTAATGGTAGAAGAACGATTTCCATTCTCGATAGTCATAGTAAAATTTTTCATAAACTCAGGTCTACGAAAAAATGATACTTTTGGTAAGGACTCAAAAGTTTAAACACCCAGGAGCGCCTTTGTATCTCAATGGTACCAATGGTGAGGTCAGACCCGTGTGGTCATTACCAGAATGTCCTAAGCTGGCCATACGTTGATAGAACTTCAGGAGAGCGTCTTCAGGGGAACCTTCATTCCTTTGTGTAGGTAATACTAGAAGAACGATTTCCATTCTCGATAGTCATAGTGAAACTTTTCGTAGACTCAGGTCTTCTTCGGAGGAATGTTCTTCCATAATTGTGTAGGTAATGCTAGAAGACCGATTTTCATTCTCGATAGTCATAGTGAAATGTTTTGTAGACTCTGGTCTACGAAAAACTGATATTTTTAGTAAAGACTCTCAAGTGTAAACACCCAGGAGCTCCTTTGTATCTCAAGGGTACCATTGGTGAGATCAGACACATGTGGTCATTACCAGGAGGTCCTAAGCTGGCCATACATTGATAGAACTTCAGGAGAACGTCTTGGGTGGAACATTCTTTCAGAATTGTGTAGGTAATGGTAGAAGAGTGATCTTCATTTTGGATAGTCAGAAGATCAGGTTGGAGAACTTTTTTCTTACCTGAACGATGGATTTTCTATGATTGAGGTTTGAGGTTTTGTGAAGACAGAACTGGAAAGGTGACACATCACGAAAGAAGAAGTAGAACAACCAAAAACTCCACTGAGTCACAATAGAGCAGTGGGAGAGTCCTCATGACCCAAAACAGAAATATCATTTTTTAGTACGTTGACCTTTCAGTTTTGTTTTCTTCAAGACAGAAGGAAAAATAAAAAAATTTCCCCCTAGAGTTGCCAACATTTCCTTAAGAGCAAGCATGGGCCCTAATTTCAGTTAAAGGTGAACTCCAAGCAAACATCTAAATACATCTAAGAGATCTGCTTGTCCGCCAAAAGATTTGCATTTCTATCCGTACAGTTCTTAGATTTACACAGCTCTGCCGCACAGCGCAGAGGAGGGCACTTAATCTTTCTTTGCTGCAGTTTCACTTTCGCTTGCAGGTCTCTTTTCCATCCCCACCCCATGACTGGACAGTGAAAGGAGAAGCAGCAGACTGATGAGCTCATCTCTCTGTCACTCTGCTCTAGACTTGTACGCCGTCAAAAAATTTGTTCCGTTTCGGAACATCCGTTATTTCGTAGTTCGTAATTCGTGTCCGAAACTCAATTCGGATTCGTACGAAATACGGATTTTCGTTCGTTTCGGCACATTTTCGTAACTTTACGAACATTCGTTATGATGAAGTTAAAAAGCAAAATACCTTTTGTTAATGTTAATATTGGAGTCGATGTGGTAGTTGTTTTTATATCCGAAATACGAATTCTGTTAACGGATTCCGGATCCGAATTTCGTATTTCGGACTTAAAAAAAACCTACCATCAACTCCAATATAAATGTACTTTGCTTTTTACCTTCAGTATAACGAATGTTCGTAACGGAACGAAAATACGTCAACGGAATTTCGTATTTCCTGCCTGTGTATTGTAATACAACTCTCAGCAGCAGCGGATCCGTATTTCGGATTAAAAAAAAAACCTTGTCATGTTGTTCAACCTCATTTACAGGGGTAATATTAGTTCCCGTCTCAAAGAAATTCGGATCCGAAATTCGTTAACGGAATTTCGTATGCTTCCGAATTTACGAATCTCAGGAAAATTCGTACGAATTTTGATTCGTAAAGAAACGAATTGCACATGTCTACTCTGCTCTCTCCTCCTGTCAGCATGCACCTTGCACGGTGGCACATCTAATTGGCTCCCTGCTCTTCTTCTCCCAGACTCTTGCAGTCTCTGTTGTACAGGTTAGAGTCTGATAGCAGGTCAAAGTCAGCCACTTGCACTGCTCACATTACAAAATAAATTTCACGATGTATTAACGATGGCAGAGCTTCTGTTATATCTTCCCGGAGTTCAGCATTCAGTTATTTACAAAGCAGTTACAGGAAGCCAGGGGGGGGGGGGGG